TTTCAAAATAACCATTGATATAACCCCCCCCCCCCAAAAAAAGGCAAAGAACAAAAAAAGCCCAACATCATGATCAATGGGGAAAAACTAGAAACATTTTCCCCTAAAAACGGGGACCAAACAAGGATGCCCCAATCACCACTCTTATTCAACATCGCACTAGGAGCCTTAGCTAGAACCATCAGACAACAAAAAGAAATCAAGGGAATATAAATAAGCAAAGAAGAAGTGAAACTCTTGCTATTTGCAGATGATATGATCCTCTCTATACAAAACCCAAAGTCTCCACAGAAAAGTTGCTTGAAACAATTGAGTAACTTGGCAAAATATCAGGATACAAAACTAACAACCAGAAATCAATTGGATTCCTGTATACCAGTGAAGAAGGCTATGAAAAAGATATTAAGAAAACAGTACCATTCACAATAATCACACAAAAGATGAAATACTTAGGAATAAACCTAACCAAAGAAACAAAAGACCTATATAGAGAAAACTACAGAACACTACGACAAGAAACCAAAAAAGACCTACATAAATGGAAGAATGTCCCTTATTCATGGATAGGCATACTTAATATTATGAAAATGTAAATGCTATCTACAGATACAACACAATTCTAATCCAAATCCTAATACAATCTTTAAATGAATGGAAAAACTAATTATCAACTTCATATGGAAAGGGAAAAGACCCAGAATAAGCAAAGAACTTCTTAAAAAGAAGAACCAAGTAGGATGCCTCATTCTACCTGACCTAAAAACCTTCTACATAGGCAGAGTAGTCAAAGCAGCCTGGTATTGGTACAAAGAGAGAAACACAGATCAGTGAAACAGAACAGTAAGTCCAGAAGTAAATTCATCCATCCACTTGCAGGCAACTAATGGTCAGCAAAACACCATAAACCATCAGATGAGATAAGGACAGCCTCTTCAGCAAACGGTGTTGGATAAATGAGATCTCCATACGCAAAAGAATGAAACAAGACCCACGCACAAAAACAAAATCAACAGGGATTAAAGACCTAAATGTAAACTCCAGAGCTGTTAGGGTCACCAATCAGAAAACTGGAACAAACTTACGTATGCCCTATTGCAGGGCACACACAGACTACCAAGTATAATAATGGAAGCACACACATCAGAAGACAAAACTGATGATTGGTGCGTGTTGAAAATAAATCACATATACACATCAAATAAAACTTCACCATAAGAGTAAAATGAGAGCCCACCGATTGGCAAATTTTTTCTACCAATGACGCAATGGGCAAGGGTCTAATTACCAAAATCTAGAGAACGCTACAACAGCTCAATAAGAAAGTAGCAAATGACTCAATGAAGAAGTGAGCAAAAGACATGAATAGACAGTTCATCAAAAATGACATTCAAATGGCTAACAAACATGAAAAAATGCTCACGATCACTAGATATCCGGGAAATGCAAAGTAAAACTACTAGGAGATACCACCTTACACCTCCAATGGTAGCCCAATTCCAAAGAAGAGAAAACCGCAAATGCTGGAGACAATGTGGAGAAAACGGACCTCGTGCACACTGTTGGTAGACTTGTAAATACATACGAGCACAATGGAAAGTGATCTGGTGCTACCTAGAACAACTGGGAATGGAAATCGCAAATGACCTAGCAATACTGCTATTGGGCATATACCTCAAAGAAATAAAAGACAAAACATGAGTAAAGGCATGTGTATTAGTCTAGGTACTTTGGAGAAACAAATCCACAGCAACTCACGTATAAGAGAGAGTTTTATGCAAAGAAAATGTGCATCACGAAAACATCCCAACCCAATGATGCCCAAGCCCACAAGTCCAACATTAACCCATACCCA